TTTTTCCCTTTTTTTCCTCCCTTATCTTTTTTTAATTGCGTCTTTATTTTGATTTTTTTATATACTTTCAAATATATCTCATTTAAATACTTTTTACACAGTTATTTAAGATATATTTTTCTTAATTACCTTGTTAAATTAACTTATTTTCAAATATATTTCTATATAAACATTTTTTGTCTATGATCCTCATAAATTTCAGCTTTATTTGTGAAATATTTTACACACTAATAAAGTGTGCCTAACATTTCGCACAGAAATGTTCCTTTTTTTTTTTTTAAAGATTTGTCTTTTTTTTCAATTTTTTACTTTAGACCTTTTTTCCCGTTTGTCTTTACTTATTTTATTCTTTCTTTTTTTTCTCCTAATAATTTATGTAACCGTTGTTTTAAATGAGTCAAGCACGCGAAGAGCGCGTTTTTAACTAGTAATAATAAACGACAAAAAGTAAAAAACTGAAAACGACGGCCAAAAATTGGAAAGGAGAAGAAGCAACAAAAAATTGAAGAACAATAATAAATGAGAAAACAACAAAACCAAGAACAATAACGAAAAACTTGAACTACGGAAAGAAATAAAACCAAAGAAAAATCTTAAAACGACAAAAATTGAGACGACAAAATAATTTAGAGGGACAAAAATTGGAAAAGCGATAGCAACCTCAAAACGACGAAGCAATTGAAAAAGACGGCAAGAAATAAAACAACAAAAAACAAAAACGACACATACGTGAAGACTGACAGCAAACATAAATGTTTAAGAAACCGTTGATATAAGTAATATATATATATAAATGATACCAAAGGTAGTAGACACTAACTAACTGGACACTAACTCTAATCTCACCTTTTATACTCATTTTCAGTTGTCAATTTTTATTTGATAATTGCTATCTTTTATTATTATGCTGTAATCTTGTAGACAGCTACTAATGGAAGAATAACAATTCAAAATTGATACAAAACATTAATATTAGAGTTAAGTCCCTAACATTTTTCAGAATATAAAAAATTGATATTTAAAAGTTAAAACTGTTTCCTTAGTTTAACGTGAAGAAACCTTATATTGAATTATGTTGTATTTCTAGATCATTTATTTAAATATTTCAAACATTATGATTTGTGCGTCCCAATTATAGTATTTGTTTAATTTGTATTATTTTAAGTAAAGTTTATATTTGCTCATTCGGCACAATTTAAATAAATAAATGTTCGTTTGGCCTTCAATGAAGTGTCCCTAAGCCCGCCATGAAAACCAAATTGCAAGTATATAAGAGCAATTATTTATTACACGTCATACTGGTTAGGTAGTACACCCGTTAAATGAGAATGTATCTTTTAGATATTTTATCTATATTAATTTTCTTTCCTAATAGGTATTTGCATTGATTGTTGAATCAAAAATACTCATTATTCTATCCAATTTTTTTATTTTAATCACTTAACTTTAAATTATTATTTTTATTCCTAAAATTACTGTAATCAAATTTCTCTGGAACGTCTCTTGCTGAACTTTCTTCTTCTTTTTTTAAACTTATAAGTTGCTAACATATATATTTTCATATAAATAAAATAGAGCTACATTTCGTCATTTAAATAAATAAATAAAAAGAGTGCTACGTACACTCATGAGTCACAAATATTGTTCGAGCACAAATATTAATTGGACTGCATTGTGTACACACAAGTACCGCTCAACTCATAGTACCTTGTGTCAATATATTTTTTTGATAACAGTATAGCTCTCTTCTTCTTATTTTAGAAGTATATGTTAGCAACTTAAGTTTAAAAAAAAAAAAAGAAAAAAAATCAGCACGGGACTTTTCAGAGAAATTTGATTACAATATTTTAAAAATAAAAATAATAATTTAAAGTTAAGTGATTAAAATAAAGAAATTGAGTAGAATAATAAGTGCTTTTGACTCAGCAATCAATATAAATATCTATTAGGAAATAGATAAATAAAAGTAAAAAATTGATGTAGATAAAAAGTCTAAATGATACATTCTTATTAAATGAGTGTACTATATAAGTAATATGATGTGGTATTAGTGTATTGAATAATTCCTATAAATAGAGTAATAGGCCATTAATGCTCAGAGCCATCAAATATTTCTGTCTCCTCCACTTTCTCTTCATATCAGTTCTATTTCCGAAGCTCTTGAACCTTTGTTCTTTATTTCTTCAGAGTTTGTGCAAAGGTGCAGAACCATGTATATCAATTTTGTTGTGTTTTTTCTTTCTTCTCCTCTTGCTAGATGTTCAAAGTATTTATAGTAGTCTTATAGTTCAGGTAGTGCACCCTTACAAAGCTCGAGTCTTGAATTTTGTGGGTTAGATTGTCGTGAACCCCATTTCACCTCGACATTGTTTGAAAGAGACGGAATATATTCTTAAAAACAGTCCCAACACGAATCAATTTCAGGCCTGTTTAGTTCATTAATTCGAGTTGATATGTGACTTTATGTGAGAGTTTTTTACTGTAGCAAAAAAGTTAGATGTGACTGTTTTTAGAGTTTTTTATTGTAACAAAACTCGAATTTTAAACTCAAATCGGTGAAATGAAAAGTTATTCGAAAAATCCATGGCTTTCAAGACAATTACTATATACCTCCAAAATTGAGCCATTCAAAAGGACCTACGAAAAGGTATTTGACACTCTAGACCTGATAACCCTTGCAAAGATTATAAGAATAATATGAAACGTTAAAAAAAAAAAAAAATCCATTTGAGCCTTAAGGATGTACACATCCGCATTAGTAAAATAATCGACAAAAAAAAAAAAAAAAAAATCCATTTGAGCCTTAAGGATGTACACATCCGCATTAGTAAAATAATCGAGTTTGAGAAAGAGCTGAGAAGGCCAAGGAATTGAGTTCCAAGGTTATCATTGGGATAGAGCAATACAAGTAGGCCTAAAAATAAAATAAAATAAAAGGAGGTATTTTACAAAGCTCAACAATAAGAATAGATTTGAAGACAAAAACTTTCTGTTTAAAAAAGGAAGGAATGTGTTAGAACAAACACAAAAAGAGAGATGAGAACCCTACAAGTATGGTTGAGGGAGATAACATTAAATTTATTATTATGGTTTGGAAAATTAATATTATTTGGAATTAGACGTCTTAAGTCTATGTTGTTGGGAGCAACAAAATTGTAAAAAAAGAAATCAAGCAAAAACTAACACATAGAGATTCAATTCAATGAGAAACTACGTCATCTTTCAGCCACTGTAGTAGTTCACTATGATAAAAAGAAATGTACAAGAGAAAATCGTACACCCCTCTACTCTTTGCATTATCTAACCTCTCTTTAACCCCATAACACCGTGCCCCTTTATAATGAAAACTAGGAAAACTAAATTTTATAAGTGTAAAATTCTCAAACTATCCTAAATAGGATTTTTGTCTATATGTGAAATCCTCTGCGTAAGGAAAAAACCGTGCACAACGTAACAAATATGGTTGCAATGAACAATGATTCTAGACCAGATAACTATAATCATGTTCTTGATCCATAAAAAGCAGATAGAAGGAATTTGAGAGTGGGAACTTTAATATACTGGCCTTCAAATTTCAAATAAGAAATACTAGATGTAAATATTTGTGTCGCTCAACTCAATTTTTCTATCTTAAATTTCTTGCTTTTAAAACAATGGCCCGATCACAAAGAAAAGTTTAATTTTGTAACATCATATATATTAGTGGCTTAAATTTCATTACTGGTTTTTTTCCCACTTTGTTTTCAGTTGCAGGCAGTGGAACATTCTTTGAACAGTGTCAATCTCAACCATGATGGGGTTCCTGACATACAATCATGCTAATATATGATCCCAAAGTATGTCTCGTATAAGGCGAATTAGGGACAAAGCCAAAAAAAAAAATTAGTCATACGAGTCCAAGGGCGTGACTGAACTAATGAGATGAAAAAAATAAAGAGATGTAGGATTGGAATACAAACTTTTTTATAAAATTTTGAACTAAACTAATAGTGCTATCTCGCGAGACTTACTTTTCTTTCATCTCTTTTTTTTTTTACTTTTTTAATCTATTTATACCTTTTTTTAATTTCTTCCTTTCAATAAATCGCCCCAATAATTGAGTATAATTTGGTTTTAAATGTATAAGTGCAAATATGCAAACTTTTAATTTAGGGTAATTTAATAAATATCATTTGAAAGTGCATGAGTTAGGATTTTTATATTTTATTTTTTATTTATAACCTTTTTAGTTAAATAATTACACTAATAAAAATGTATTATCAAGAATAAAGAGTAAAGATCCAGACTCATAATTCTCAACAGTAAATTTTCCATTTAATCTTTAGTTTATTTATATAATTGAATCCAAAATAATGGGTATAATTTTCGGTCCAAAAGTTGCTCCGCCCCCCACTTTGACATTATGAGGTAGCTGAAATTCGTTAGTTAGTCACAATCTGGCCCACGAATTAGTTTATAGGGTTTACTTAATCCTGAAGCTATTAAACTAACACTAATCATCTGGTCAAGCCAATGTGGTTGTTGGCAAGTAGAATGACAAATCAAGACTACTTTGAACTTAATCTCAAAAAACAAAAAAAAGTGTGATAATTTCCTTGTGCTTTGCTATGAACTTTTTTTTTTTTTAGAAGAACTATGAACTGATTATTATAATATGAAGAATTTTCATTATTGATGTAGTAAGGAATTTCTGGTACCTGAAAAATGAATATTGAAGTATGAATTCCACCAAACTCTTTCTTTAAATTCCTTTTTGTTTCCTGTTTAATTAGTCACGAAATTTGCATATTCATACATCTATAAAAAAAACAAAAAAAAAATCCAATTTTAAAGAACATTTCAGCTAATAAAAAGACACAAAAATAAAGAAAAATAAAAAAGACAGTTATGCATACCAAAATTAACAACCTAGTTCGTTGATTAAAGATGATATTTTTCCACAAAGAGTTGCTCATATTTATCCCTTTACAAGACCTAATCAATGAGCTAAAAGAACGTTGTTAATCCAAATGCAGCTCAAATCGGCACAATGGGCAAACATTACTCTTCTCAAGCCAACGCAAAATGCAACGTTCATGATAAAAGTGCAAACAAGGCAACCGAGAAGCTTCACACTCTAACAAAATCTCTTCTAGACATATCGCACAATATCCTTCAATACTCGCCCTCCTTAACACTCGCGTCGCGGCGCAGGACGACGCGGCGGAAGTTGAGATCTTCTGGATCATGGACGGCTGGGCGTGGAAAGGAACCAGCATGTGAGAAAGCATGCCGGATATGGTCGACCATGAAGTGGCGTTATCTATGAGAACTTGTCTTTGAGCCATGAACTGGAAATTTCTCCTGTGAAGGCTCGTAAAGATTGACGGATCGGCATCGTCTACCGTGACGTATGTCGCGAAAACATCGATCAAGAACTCGGGGTTTGCCGAGGTTGAAGTACTATTAGTACTTTGATCTGTTCTGAGGTTTTGATATGGTTGCCAGCCCCATACCTTGCAACTGTAAATGGACATGTTCTGAGAAGGAATAAGGATGAAATAGAAGAGAGATGAGAAATGTTTGATTCGAGAGGACGCTTGTTAAATAGTATTTGGTGTTTTTAGTTTTGGTGAGTTGTATTTGATTTGTAGAGTACTGGGGAAGAAACAGGATCGGCTTCTAAACAGACTTTTGGATTAGGTGTTTGCTTGGAATTTAAGGTTAACAAGTTGTTATGTTGGCGGTCGTTATGACTCTGCCCTCGTCACGCTTCAAGATGTGTGATGATTTATATCTTTTAGTATTTTTCAATATTCTTCTTTTCATTTACATATATATATATATATATATATACATTCTCTTATTTAAGAGAAAAAGAAAATAGTAGTCAAATAAATTTTTAGCTTTTCTAATTTTTTTAATATCAATTGAAGTCACAAGTCGTAAAAATAAAAAAGTAGGTCTCATTCTCTTGTGGGGCCCACGTGGGACCACTCCTATGTCTCGCAGAGTTGTGGCTCCACGAACTGCATTGCAATACTCGTTTTACTTCAGTAATTCTCTCTATCAAAAAGCAAGTTGAACTAAAGATGAAGGGGCTTTTCATGCCACTGGATAAAACGTTGGGCTTGGTCTTAGGAAAAGGCCATGTATAAAAACGTTAGAAGTAATTAAAATGTAATAATATCGAAGCTATTTTTAGAAATATCGATTATTATACAATATTACAAAAATACTAAATTTATTTGTATAGGACATACTTTTTTCCTGTGTTACTCTTATTGGGTATTTTAGGCTTGTTCTTTATATGGTTAGCTGTTTTTTTAGTCTGATTTTTCCTGGTCATAATTTTGATATTTACCTTCTGTTTTTTTAACTTTATTTGTTTGTTTTTTATTAATCAATCATTATGATTTTATGTTGATTTGGTTTTTTTTTTTTCACGGGTTATTGTTTTCCCCCCTTCTTTCATTTTTGAATTCATTCGTGTGTGTGCCTTTTTTTCTACGATTTTTTCATTGCTAGCTCACGTTCTCTGATTCTCTAGGAGCCATCGTCTGTAGGTTGTTGTATTTTAGGCTTGTTCTTTATATGGTTAGCTGTTTTTTTAGTCTGATTTTTCCTGGTCATAATTTTGATATTTACCTTCTGTTTTTTAACTTTATTTGTTTGTTTTTTATTAATCAATCATTATGATTTTATGTTGATTTGGTTTTTTTTTTCCACGGGTTATTGTTTTCCCCCCTGCATTCATTTTTGAATTCATTCGTGTGTGTGCCTTTTTTTTCTACGATTTTGTCATTGCTAGCTCACGTTCTTTGATTGACGCTAATCGTTGGGGAGAGGAGCCATCGTCTATAGGTTGTTGTCTTGTTGATCGTTGATTGATGTTCATCATTTGGTTGCTCCGTTCTTTGATTTGCTACCCCTTTTGGATTTCTTTTTTTTTTTTTTTTGATAATGCTTTTGGATTTCTTTGTTGCTCATCGGCCGGGGGTGCACAAGTTGTGGTTTATTTTGTGGGAGTTTCTCCCGTAGAACTAGAAAAATAAAATCACAGTAGTTTTATTTTTTTCAACTATTTTCAGCCATAAAATATGTATTAAAAACTGTATATTTTCTATACATTTTTTAATCTCATTTAATTTTGACCAGATGCAACCGGACAGAAAACTGATCCTATTGGTAGGATGTTTTTTTTTTTTTTTGATAATGCTTTTGGATTTCTTTGTTGCTCATCGGCCGGGGGTGCACAAGTTGTGGTTTATTTTGTGGGAGTTTATCCCGTAGAATTAGAAAAATAAAATCACGGTAGTTTTATTTTTTTCAACTATTTTCAGCCATAAAATATGTATTAAAAATTGTATATTTTCTATACATTTTTTAATCTCATTTAATTTTGACCAGATGCAACCGGACAGAAAACTGATCCTATCGGTAGGATGACGTACCGAAGACAATCTCTTATTTTGTTGCTCATCCTTTTGATTTTCCCAGCTTGTGTTTACGTTACTCTATTTCTTTGTTATATATTCTTTTGATAATGATTTCATCATTAAAATAATGAAATTACTTATTCGTTGTATCTTATATATTCTCATGTTTCGTATATAATTTAATATTCGGTGTTCATTTTCATAATGATGCATGATTTTCATTTGACAGAGTTTATATTCTTTTTTTGGCGCAATGGAGGCAGATAATGGTATCATACCCTTGGATGTTGTGACCCAATCTTTTTTGAATTATGTTGTGACTGATTTTCATTTGATTGATTTGTTTTGTAATTTTCTTTCATTATGGTCTAATCATTATTTTAGAGAAAATAATTTTTTCCGTTAATATTTTCTTACTAGGTTTTATGTTTCTTCTTTTTTAAGATTTTTTCTTTGGTATGATCATATTTCTTCTTTATTGTATTATTTTTTGATGATTTTTCATGAATAATATTACGTATTGTTTTGCTTTTTATTTTCATTTTGATTTAATCATTATTTTAGTGAAAATACTTATTCGTTATGTACATATTTTCTAGTTAGGTTTTATGTGTTTTCTTTATTAGAATTTTTCTTTCATTATGTATGATCATGGTTCTTCTTTATTATAATCTTTTTTTTTATGATTTTCCGTGTTGATATTACTTATTGCTTTGCTTTTCATTTTCATTATGGTTGATCATTATTTTCGTGAGAAGAACTTTTAAGGCTAGTTTTAGAGCATATGTAGTGGGTGCAGAGTTTTAGAGTTTTTTTGGCAAAATAAAAGAGCCACCATTTTTAAGATTCGGTACAAAAGAAAATTAGTGAACTCATTTTTTAAATGCATTGTTTTAAGATTATTACTCTTTACTCTTGATTAATACTATTTTCACTGATATAGTTATTTGACTAAAGGACATTAATTAGAGAAAGGGATAAAAATCTAAAACTCATCCGTTCTAAGGAGTACTTGTCTCATTTTCTCTATCAACAATGATTGAATGCTACAATTAGCCTCAATTGGTTTTCATGACAAAAGTATTTTGTATATACAAAATAGTTGAATTTACTCTTAGAGTGCATGACTCTAAATTTTTATTTTTCACTCTTGATTAATACTCTTTTAACTAATATAGTTATTTAACTAAGAATGGTATTAATCAAAAGTACTCATGTATTTGTCTCATTTTCTAAGGCATTTAAAGAATTTATGCATACGCTCCATTTTTAAAAAAAAAGAAATGTGTCCACTATTGATAAAAATAATGAAAAAACAAAGTATATGGAAGAATATGAAATGTGTCCATTCAACAAGTTTCATGTGGTTCAGTTTACTACATTCCTCGCTCGGGGAATTCAATAGCCCACATGTTATCTGCTTTTACTTTTTCTAATAGTTCGGATATGGTTTAGCTTGATACTAATCTCAGATTTATCAGTTATTTTGTACATGTTGATTTAGCTGTTTTTTAATTAATACCAGCCGGTTTTTCTTTAAAAAAAATTTAAAAAAAAAAGAGAGGGAGAAAATTTTTTTCCTAAAAAAAAGAGAGGAAAAAATAATAACTTATCGTAATAAATAATCCAAGTCATTATTAAGGGAAAAATATCTAAGTGCGTAGGAATTTTAGTTGAGCCTTTTACATTAACATAATTGCATTAAAAAGTAAACGTTTTTTTTTTTTTTCAAAATATTTCATAAATAGTATTGGTTTTGAATTTTTTTTTTTTTTTGTGTGAGTGTCATTGTCACATTAGTTTAATATACACAATAAAACTAGTATTATTTATGAAATATTTAAAATAATAAGAAAATATAATTTTTGCAATTACTTACATGTGATTCTTGTGTTATAGAAACTAGTGTAATTACAAAATATGGTTTCTGTCATTCTGTGCGTTGCGATTCTTTTTGTTGTAATCACTTACGCGAGACGGACACAAAATACGATTTTTTGTTGAATTTTTTACGCTACACAAAAAAAAAAAAAAGATTAATTTCAAAAATTCTCCGTGAACTATACTCCTTGTAACATTGTGTCTCTCAAATTTTAAAATGTAACATCCGCTCTCTCCGAATTTTATTCTGTTAAGGGAAAAATATCTAAGTGCGTAGGAATTTTAGTTGAGCCTTTTACATTAACATAATTGCATTAAAAAGTAAACGTTTTTTTTTTTTTTTCAAAAAATTTCATAAATAGTATTGGTTTTGAATTTTTTTTTTTTTTTGTGTGAGTGTCATTGTCACATTAGTTTAATATACACAATAAAACTAGTATTATTTATGAAATATTTAAAATAATAAGAAAATATAATTTTTGCAATTACTTACATGTGATTCTTGTGTTATAGAAACTAGTGTAATTACAAAATATGGTTTCTGTCATTCTGTGCGTTGCGATTCTTTTTGTTGTAATCACTTACGCGAGACGGACACAAAATACGATTTTTTGTTGAATTTTTTACGCTACACAAAAAAAAAAAAAGATTAATTTCAAAAATTCTCCGTGAACTATACTCCTTGTAACATTGTGTCTCCCAAATTTTAAAATGTAACATCCACTCTCTCCGAATTTTGTTCTGTTAACAAGTTTTCCTCTTATGTTACAATGAGTGACGGAATTACCACGTGTCACTTATTTAGTGAGAATTAAAAGTATAATTACGCTTATACTCTCCTAATCAGATAATTTATCTTTTTTATTGAAAAATTCATCATCTTCTCTGTGAGAAACATCATTAGCTTCAACCCAAATTCATAAATTTTAGATTTTCCACCAACAGAAAGGCATCAAAAATATCATCAAAGCATTACAAAAACACAAAAATCACATCTCCACATGTCCAGCACGACCAAGATCTCGCTGTCGTACTTGTCGCGACACTACAAGGGCATACCGGACTTGAATCTCTCCATCCGGACCATCACCAACCTGCTTGAATCTCTATATTGTCTTGGAGCCGTAAAGGAGATCTCCTTCGCGTGTCCATCATGGGCCCACGACCAAGATCTCGTTGTTGTTCTCATCCCGCGCTACAAGGCCACATGTCAAATA